CGTTGTGCGCCTTTCGCCTTCTCCCTTTCCCGCCTTCATGTGGCGCCGCGGGCGTGTGGCGGTCACCGGCCGAGGACTGGGACCGGGACCGCCGCCTGCGGTGCCGGCGGGTGCGAGCGGCGCCGGGTCTTGAGGCAAGTGAGTAAAAAAACCCCATTTCCCAGGGAACGGGTGCCGTTGGGGGCACGGGCGCACGCCGTTTTATTTTTTTAAGCATTCGGGTCCAGTTATTGTGCAGTTTAAGTGCGTTTCTGTGTTATATTAGCTTTTTGGGGTAAGTATCCTGCAGCCTCTCCTCCTCCATGCCCCCCTCTGAGTCTGTGGAGCTGCAGAGCATCATCCCCGGGCTTTCCTTTAATAACCTCTCTATGGTTCAGTGAAAATGGTTGGTGGCCTACAAAACTTTAAGGGTTAATTGTGCTTTCTTGGTTGAAATTCTATAGAGACTTTTGAGGTAACAGCTTCAGGGATGTTTTCCTCATGGTCTAGAGTGTCCTTGGTGAGGGACCATAGTACCCCTTGGCTGCTCAAACAGCACCTTTTTCACCTTATTTTGTTTTGGCTAGAGCATTCCTGAAGACACTTTTAAAAACTTGCAGCTTAATAAAGTTATAGTTTTAAAAATAAATAAACTAGCCCCTCCTGCTTAATTCCTCCAGTTGCTAATATCCTTCATGTGCAAGAGAAGGCAGGAGGTGCACCCTGGAAACAAAAGTAAAGCCGCATAACCACAGCTCACTGTTCATTATGGTTGAAGAGAAGCCCGTAGAGCATTTCAGTGTGGTCGATCTGCTGAGCAACCTGTTGATCAGTACCTGTGACACAAGTGAGGATGGATTTTTATGGCTCAATGTGGTTTGCTGTAACACGCTGCCCTGACAGACTGACACTGCTGATGTCGTGTTGCCTGCAGGCACTTGCTGACACACGGGCAGTCAGGTAGAGTACGTAGGAGGGAGGGCATAGGAGTACAATGGTGGTTTTTCATTTTTTGGAAACATATGGTATATATGATTCATCACCAGCAAGTGATGCGCTCGCCATACGTGTATTTAGCTGGCCTGTATGGCTTTCCTTTCTCTGGGTGTTAATTTTAGGCATTGTCCTCAGCAGAGGCTTTTAATGCTGTTCAGTATTCAATCGTGATGTCTCCCACACCTAATCAGGTTATAACATTTTCTTCAAGCTATATTTTCTTTCTGTGGTTTCTAAGTATTGCTGAGGTGGTCTATAAATGGAAGAACTTTATGAAAATTGTTAAGAACAGGAACTTAGACTTTTAAATGAGATCTTTTTCCTTATGCAGAAAGTACTGAGGATATTGGAGATGTTTTGGTGGACTGGTATTTTAAGGTCTTTAAGTAACTAAAGCAGTGTGTGTATACTTTGCTATGCTTCTTTTGGATGAATTTCTCTTGTGTGGATCATCTGTATACCTTCGAAATTTTCCATATAATATCCTCCTTCCATTTGAACTGCATCTTTGGGTTGTACTAAACTCTTTCAGAATAGCTTCAGCAGCAGTTTTTAAATTCCTCTGGCAGGCAGATGCTGTCTTCTAAAATGGTCTAGATGGTCTTCTAAAATGTACACTGGGGATGGCTACTCAAGCAAGAATGAACACAACTTCTTGTTTTCTAAATACTTTGTGTGTAATGTAGTTACTGTTTGTATACTTGGTCAGTGCGACCAGTTGTAAGAATTTTTCTATTAATGAACACTCTTCGTTTTTCCAGTAGTCTTCAACGCCTTAGGCGATTCAAAATAGAAGATTGTTTTTAAGACCTCTCTAAAAAGATTTGATGAGGGCTTTCACATTTCCCACCATAATGTATTTTGTCTATTCTGTCATTGTTGCTTATCTATGTAAAGTGTAGACTCAAAGGCACGTTCCTGTTGGCTTGGGAAGCAGAATCTCTGGGACGTGTAATTTACAGTGACTAAGTCTGCTCTTTGGTGAAACTTTGTTTGTAACCTTCTGTGCTAATATGAATCTTAATGTTCCATGGTCTAGGAATGTATGTCATGAGTGTCTTAAACATAGGTATTTACTGCATTGTGATAGCGTGCATGCTTAGGTAGTGCAAGAAAATAGGTATGGAGGCAGAGCACTAGTGAGTCCGTCATTTATTACTATTTTGTTTGGTTAATTGCTGCACTTTCTTCTTTTAGGTATGGAGATCCGAAAAGAAGCAGAATAAATGACATCATGTTGTGCAGAAGGGAAAGTTCTGGAGAGACAGCACAGCGAGGGTGCAACCTCAGGTGGGTCAAGAACAGAACCAAAAAGTTGCTTGTTGTGGTGACTCTTTCCATCACCTTAGCAGCATGAGGAATCAGTACCCAAGGACTGAAGAGCTGCTGTAGCCCTCCAGTTCTAGTAGCAGATAACCATACAGTGATACAGAGTTGTTCCGTGGCTACATAAAGATTGCTTTTTCTCTCTCTTGTCTCTGACTGGTCAGCGCGTGACCTAGGTTATAACTGATATCTGGAGCGTGGGGAGCGAAGGTGGGTAAAAGGATTTGAGCATTCTCGTAGTATGCACCGAAGATCATTTTGTTGTGCTCATATATCCAACTTTCTTCAATGTTGTGATTGCTCTTGGAATTTAAACTTCCTCAAGAGCTTTCTTAAAATCAGATAAGCCAGCATGGATCTAAGCAATAGTCTTTGGGCCTGTAACTAATGTCATAGAAATTCAGTCTGATCTGCTTTTATTTACATGTTATGCAGAATTATGGGGTGAAAGTAAGTCTGGGAGCTGCATCATCAGTGGAAAGATTGAGGAAGTGGAATGAATGAGCGTTTAATGCAGCTGAACGTTAACAAGTTGCGTTTTCTGCAAAGACGACAACCAGCAGGCAGTAGGGTTGCCAGATTTGCAGTCTTCAGTTAGAGGTGAAGCAGAGGCATAGGGCCCAGGCTCATTGTAGGCTGCATAACAAAATCCTTTTAATTGCTGCCTGTGATCACACACACACAGAATGCCAGGCAATCAGGAACAGCCATATTAAGTGCTGATGGTCGCTCCCTGTCTCTTTAACAGCATGTAGATTATGAGCAGCTTATACAGAGTCCCCACACTAGGGATGTGTCGAATGGTCTGCCGTGGGCTTATGCTGGCCCATTTCCACAATCTGAATCCCTCTTGGTGGGAGGAAGTCAGCCAGATGGGGTTTCTGAGTCTGAAATGTGTGTCATCCTGGCACCCACCCACATGTTACTGCTCCTTCCTTTAACAGCGTAGGAGGATCTCGATGTGGTTGGTATCACCTGCCACCTCTCTGGGTGTTTTCCGTTCCTTCAGCCCCTTGAGTTTGGCAAAAGCCTTTTGAATCCTACCCATCAGAAAATGTAAGCAGATAATGTGTAGTCAGAAGAGCGGGCCGCCCGTGTGCTGATGACCCTTAAAATGCTAGTATCAAGCAAGAAAAATGAGCTAGAAACTAAAGGATTATGTGAAGAATGTTTGGATGAAGAAGAGATTAAAAGGGAATACTTGTGACTGTTTTTTCTCTTGAGTGGTTATTTGTAGTCATATATAGTACAGACAAAGTATATAGTTTTTACTAATCTTGCAATTGTCAAACACTTGAACTCACATTAACACCTATTTCACTATAACAGTCTGTATAGAATGAAGTACATTGGAATTGTATCTAGCCAACATAGCACATTAGATAACAGTTGAAGTAGAATTAATAAGATTTTTCTATTACCTCTCCTTTTTATAATTATTTAATACTAATGTTGAGAATTGGGGTGCTCCTGTACAAGTGAGATGGAGCTCACCAGTGCTACAGGCATCCCTTTTTAGTTGGAACAGCATGCTTAGCCAGGCTGGCCCTTGTGGGATCCCTGCCCTTGGAGGGAAGGCCGGGCACGGAGCGAGTGCAGGTAGGCAGCAGTGTTGGAGCCAGGGAGTGTGCTCCCGAGTTCAGACGGCCCTGGGTGAATGATCAAGACCCCATTGGGAGTCTGCAGTGTTCTAGTTCCTCTCCTGAGTTTAGCACAAAGTCTGTAATGGGAAGGTAATTCCAAGCTTCCATGTGAGCACTGTATGGAGCTGATCCTAGCAGCAGGTAGCTTGCTTGTGATGACCTTGAGGCTGGTGCAGGTCAGAGCTGGCTTTGAGTAGAATCACTTCAGGGGCGCTTATTTCACAACATATACTTATAGATTGGAGATTACCCCATTGACTGTTTACTGAGGATTAGCTTTGTTTTTTCTAGCTAGCAAGTCATGTCTAGTCTCAACCTGGATATATGTTAAGGGGAATTTCTCCAAGTTATGTGTTTATTTCATTTGTTTGCCTTTTTATTATTATTCCTAATTTAAAAGACTGTAGGAAATGTAAGAAAAAGAAGTCTAATGAACAGAGTTGTTTGAAGGATGCAGGATACTGCATTGCTCTGAGGGGCTGGATTCAGCAATGCTCAAGTCTGCCAGTTCTAGAAAATGAAGCATTTACAGTGTGTTCCCACACAATAGGTTCTTCCCTCAAGAAATATCTTTCAAATGCACATTCTAGAATGAGAATGTGCAGCACAGTATCTCTTCTACCCATAATAACTTGGTCTCTTTCGGACAAAGAGCATCTGCTGAATATAGTTAATACGTTTACTTTTTTTTTCCTCCCTGTGTTTTATCTCACACTGTGCTTTAATTTATGTGTTCTGCAACTTGTCGACTATATCCAGCTGCTCTCAATATCCATGACAATGAGGCTTCAGGGCTCCAAACTGCGACAGTCTATAACTTGCAGTGCTGAGGGAAGATGTGCAGGATTTCAAAGCAGTGTGTGCACCTCTAATTGGTGACTAAGAAAAAAGAGGACCTCTTCCCTTCTTTCTTCCGGATGTTTTTGCATTGCTTATCAGAGTTAGAACTTTATCATGCTGCTACAGCTGATGAAACTACAGCTGGCACATCGGGGGCATTTGATGCACTTGAGAATAATTACAAATTGGTTACTATGGTTTTCAGGAGGCATAGTTAAGTCTGAAGGTTTGAATATTAGCAATATATCCTGAACCCAGGTTTCTGTGTTCATCAGGAGTAGTGAATCTCTCTTGCTCATTTACTTCATTTCTGGTTGAAGATTTGGAGGTTGCTGTTTTCCTCCCTGCCCTTGGAATCATGCAGAGATTGGGGGGAGGAGAAGTCAGATTTTTAGTACTCCCTGTCTTGCATAGCAAGTCTCGATCCTTTTCGAGGGATGTGTGCAGATGGATCTCTGTGCTCCTTCGCCTCTTCCACTTCTCAAGGGTGCTGCATGGCTCCCCTTGCTCATTAGAACGTGGATTTTACAGCGTTCTAGTGAAGATTTTTCCTAGTGAGCTAGCATTAGCTGTTTTTCTTGAACGTGAAATACTACAAGGCCGTTGCCTTCCATATATCCCTGTAGAATGTTTTGGCACTCATGATAGAATGGCCATTGTTTACCATGTAGATGGTCACCTACCTGCATATTTTACATGGAACCAGGTCTGTTAATTTTAGACCTGTTTTAGTGTTATTTGGCCAACAATGAAATATAAAGAAATGTTCCTACTCTTGTTTAAGTAGGAGCCAGCCAAAAGGAGAAGAAACAAAGCACTGCCACTCGCACATTAGTTCTTGCCTTGTGGTAAGACCCATCTGTTCCAGAATCACAAAAATGTAAAAATGAAAACCCACAGATTGTATGAATCAGTTTATTTACATGCTTATGAGGTTAAAAGACGGGCAGTTGGCCTCACCTGTGTAGATCTGTGGCATGCGTGCAGCAACTCAAGAGACTTCCACGAGAGGGTGCTCCAGTTCAGCAAAATCTCCTCAAAACCGAATGAGTGTCCCCATTGTGTGCATGCTTGCTGCCAATTTATGTGTTCGTGTATCCAAGTCAGCTTAGAAATTGGAGAGATGCCTTTATGTGCAAGGGTGTCTGTCCGGTCCAGTAAGCAGATACTTCACAGTATCACATATCCATTCGTGTAAAGGCAGTATTTCCAGAGGTCCTATTCACACTGCTGAAAGACTGTTTAGTGCCTAGTCACAAAATACTATTCAAAATTAGAATTTACTTTGTTTTGGTTTGGCCTACTGAAACCTGCTGCTTGCTCCTTAATACTGTCTACAAATGTATGCCTATTTATTTTTTATTATTATTTTGTGTTTTCCTGTTTTGGAACGTCATTAGTTTGCCTTTCAAATTGGTACAGCACTGGTACAGAAGAAAACACCATCTAGAAAAGTAAGTTCTTAAATGATTAAGTATTGCTGATAATATTTTTTGTTTGTTTGTTTTTGTAATAAAGTTATTATTTGTTTCATAATAGAGTAAGTAAGGAACTGTTATTAAGGCTTAAGTGTAAGTTGTACAGTGTTACTGTACTGCTATGCTAAAAGCACTAGAATGTTTTGCTGGATGTATCGGCCAAAGTTCTAGGTCCATCACTCTGAGGCAGTCCTAGAATAGCAAGATTTATGTGTATAACTGATTAACCATAAAAAGATTTCCAGGAAAAAGACTGCTTTTGAATCATGCATGCCTGTCCCAAATCACATGTCACTTACAGATATTCTTGCATGACAGCAAGATAACTAAAACTG